GAAAAGTGGGAACGAAAACTCCCTCAGCGCTACGTGGTCGCAGCCTCCCCCGGCGCCAACTCCCTGCACCTCCCCCTAGAGATCCAGTCCACCGACAACGCAGTCCAGCTCGCCCTCAACGGACTGGTCGACTGCGGCGCCACGTCGGACTTCATCGACTCCACCTACGCCTCCGAAAACCAACTTCCGGTCCGGCAGCTCTCCCAGCCTATCCCAGTCTACAACGTGGACGGCACGCCAAATGAAGCCGGCTCCATCCGACAAGTTGCCGATGTGGTCCTGCGTTACCAAGGACACAGCGAGCGTGTCCAGCTCGCCGTCACTCGGCTTGGCAAGCAGAAATTGATCCTCGGCTATTCCTGGCTTCGGAAGCACAACCCGGAGATCAATTGGGACACCCAGGAGGTAAAGATGAGCCGCTGCCCATCGGGCTGCTCCACCTGCACCGAGGAGTCTCGCCAAGAGAGACGGATAGCCCGGATTTCGGCCCGAGCACTCCGATCAGCCCGACAAGGCCCTGCCCCCTCCATCTGCGTCGTTGATATTGAAGACCGCGAAGACGAGGCTATGCCACTGCTCCAGGAAGACGACGGAGAAGATTCCGACAAAGAAGAAGATTGTCTGGAAACCGGTGACCGTATCCTCTACACCCGTTTCAACCCTTCTGAAGACATCCGAGCCACTAGCACCGTCTCCCAGCGTCTTGCGGAGGCGTTTGCCAAGAACTCTGCCCCCCCTCGGGATTCCATACCCGAGTGGGCGCGTGAGTTCAAGGATGTTTTCAGCAAGGAGTCCTTTGACAACCTTCCGGAACGTCGCCCCTGGGACCACGCCATCGAACTGGTGCCCGACGCAAAGCCAACGAACTGCAAGGTCTACCCTATCTCCCCCTTGGAGCAGAAGCAGCTTGACGCTTTCATCGAAGAAGGCATGGCCACCGGCCGGATCCGACCCTCGAAGTCCCCTATGGCCTCCCCGGTCTTCTTTGTCAAAAAGAAGGACGGCAGTCTACGGTTTGTCCAAGATTACCGGGCACTGAATGCAATGACAGTGAAGAATCGGTACCCCCTTCCCTTAATCAACGACCTGATCAATAAGCTCAAGGGAGCCCGCTTCTTCACCAAACTCGATGTTCGGTGGGGCTTCAACAACGTACGGATACGAGAAGGAGATGAGTGGAAGGCTGCATTTCGGACTAACCGCGGGCTCTTCGAGCCACTGGTGATGTATTTCGGCCTCACCAACTCCCCCGCAACGTTCCAGACTATGATGAATGACATCCTCCAGGACCTCATACTCTCTGGCGACGTCATGGTGTACCTGGACAACATCCTCATCGCGCACTCTGACCTTCACCTCCATCGTCGTATCGTGAACGAGGTCCTCCGACGCCTTCGCAAAAACAAGCTGTACCTCCGAGCGGAGAAGTGCGAATTCGAGATGGAGTCCATCAAGTACCTTGGCGTGATCATCTCCCACAACCACGTCGAGATGGACCCCGTCAAGGTGGCAGGAGTAGCCGAATGGCCTGCTCCCTCTACCAAGAAGGAAGTGCAGCAGTTCCTTGGGTTCACTAACTTCTACCGGAGGTTTATTCGGGACTTCTCCCACGTCGCGCGCCCGCTCTTCGACCTCACCAAGAAGGACGTATCATGGTCTTGGGGCGACAACGAGTCCGCTTCGTTCCAGGCCTTAAAGGATGCAGTCACCTCTACACCGGTTCTTCTCCTCCCAGACTCCTCTTGTCCTTATCGCCTAGAGGCTGATAGCTCCGATTTTGCCACAGGAGCCGTCATCTCGCAGCAGTCCCCCTCGGACGACAAGTGGCACCCAGTCGCCTTCTTTTCCAAGAGCCTTAACGACGTCCAACGCAACTACGAGATCCACGACAAGGAGATGCTTGTGACAATCAACCCAGAAACAAGTCGAAAAGAGAAGTGAATTCGAAGACTGGAGAATACAACCAGGTGGCTACAGTATTTATACCCAAATCCAGTCTGAGTCATATCTACAACTAATGAGTCATAAGACTATGTACCGCATGGAACGCTGGTCATGGGTTGTACTAGAACCTTCCGGAGCATATGTCGCGCAGCCTCGAATCAATGAAGATAATCCCTGGAACCCCTAGTCCGGACCGTCTGATGCCGTGATCCGTGATAAGATAAGTCGTGCCAAGATAAGATAAGATCGTTGATGATAAGATGAAAAAGTGGCCGAACTATGACAATGCTCGCGATTGTGCGTGCGCTGGAGGAGTGGCGGCACTTCTTGGAAGGCGCCGAATACCCCGTGGAAATCTGGACCGACCACAAGAACTTGGAGTACTTCCGCAAGGCCCAGAACCTCAATCGCCGGCAAGCCCGATGGTCGCTCTACTTGTCCCGCTTCGATTTCACGCTCCACCACCAACCTGGCCGGCTCATGGGACGACCAGACGCACTCTCCCGACGCCCGGACCACGGAGCCCCCTCGGACAACACAGATGTCACCCTGTTGAGGCCGGAACTGTTCCATGTGCGTGCACTCGAGGGACTTTCCGTCTCTGGCCCGGAAGCCCCGCTTGTCCGTGACATTCGGGAATCGCTTTCCGGTGACCCTGACCTTGAGGAAGCTGTTGCGCTCGTAGCACGACAGCTTCTAAAGGGGATGAAGGGGGCCCGCTCTGCAGTCACAGCAGAGTGGCGTGTCCAGGACGGCCTGCTCTACTTCCGTGGGAAACTGGTGGTTCCGCGCGACAAGGACCTTCGACGACGCATCCTCGAGCAACATCACGACACCCGTGTTGCAGGGCACGCTGGCCGCTTCAAGACGCTGGAGCTGGTCTCTCGGAACTACTGGTGGCCCCAGCTTTCACGACACGTCGGCCGATACGTGGCCACCTGCGACCTGTGCTGTCGGACCAAGGCTCTCCGACGACTCCCCACTGGAGAGCTTCACCCCACAGAGATCCCCTCGGAACGTTGGGAATCGGTGTCGGTGGACTTTATTGTTGAGTTACCGGAGGCGCACGGCTACGACGCTATCATGGTGGTCGTTGACATGCTAGGGAAGCGTGCCCACTTCATCGAGTGCCACACTCGCCTCTCGGCCGAAGGGATGGCTTGGTTGTTCTACAAGCACGTCTGGCGACACCACGGGTTACCTATCAAGTATGTCTCTGACCGCGGCCCTCAGTTTGTGGCGGACTTCACCCAGGAGCTATGGAAGCTGGTTGGCGTTTCCCCTGCCACGTCCACTGCTTATCACCCGCAGACTGATGGCCAGACCGAGCGGGTCAACCAGGAGCTGGAGCAATACCTCCGGATCTTCACCAGCTACAAGCAGGATGACTGGGACGAGCTCCTGCCCGCAGCCGAGTTTGCTTACAACAACCACGTCCACTCCTCGACCCAACAGGTTCCCTTCATGACGGACACAGGACGCTTACCACGCATGGGATTCGAGCCGACAGAGCAGCGCTCCACCCAAGCAGAGTCTGCCAACGAGTTTCTGGATCGGGTCGCATCGGGCGTAACCGAGGCCAAATCAGCACTGGTCAAGGCAAAGGACGAGTACAAGAGGTACTATGACCGACGAAGGACCGCCGCTCCCGACATCAAGGTTGGCAGCCGAGTCTGGCTCGACGCCTCGGACATCACAACAACGCGACCCTCTCGTGGCCTCTCCCACCGACGCCTGGGCCCCTTCAAGGTCACCCAAGTCGTAGGTCAAGGCGCATACAAGCTCGCCCTCCCCACTAGCCTCTCTCGCCTCCACCCTGTCTTCCCCGTGGTCAAGCTCCAGTTGGCCGAAGATGACCCGTTCCCCACTCGCCCGCGTCACGAAGAACCACCCCCTGTCCTAGGACAAGGCGAAGGAGAGGAGTGGGAAGTGGAGGAGATCCTAGACGCAAAGATGCGATACCGGAGTGTCTGGTTCCGAGTGCGATGGAAGGGCTATGACCCATCTCATGACCAGTGGGTCAAGCACTCAGATGTGTTTGCTGACGACGCAGTGGCAGCATTCTACTGCAAATACCCTGGGAAGCCACGTGTCATCGCAGCGGCCGTATTTGACTCGCTGCCCTTCAGGGACTCGTCAACCCCCAACCGTGCCTTGCGTCGAGGCGCCGCAATCAAGAGGGGGGGTGATGTCAGGGGAACCCCTGCTTTCGTCCGATCATCCTGGGATCTTGCATGTGACCGTGCACGCGCCATCTGTCAGGCGTCACATGCTTCGGTCCGGACTTCCCTGCCAAGCGCATCCACATGACACTCGGGCCCGGATCCCCATTGTTCCGACGGTCCGGCTCCCATTGTTCTCCCCCGATCCGGCCCCTCATTGTTCCCTGGCCCCATTGTCTGGCGCTTCCATTGTGCTTGGTCATCCATTGTTCTGTAGGCTATATATAGTGGGCCCTGACAAGGAGAGTCCCCAACTCGGTTTCTCTTTGGACTCTCCCTTGTCAGGTTTGCCAGTCTCCTGTACTAGTCGATCCCCTTATCTGACGCTTTGGACTCTCCCTTGTCAGGACTCTGAGATCGGGCCTCGAGGTTGCCCTTACAGAATCAACAGATTCTTCCAGGGGCTTTAATCTGTTTTCAGTGAGAAAAGATCATCTTTTCGTTGTCTCTATTTCCAGTTAAAATCGACATCTATTCCCAGTGAGAATCGATTAAAAAAAAGATGATCTATTTACAGTTCTGTTTTCGGGAGGAATAGATGTCTATTTGTGGTAAAAATTGAGCCGTAAATCGACGTCTATTTTCAATATGTATATTTTGTCTGAAAACAGAACAGTGAAAATCGGACTTCTAGATTGTCACGCATTTTCCACGGAAAAAAAATAAGTCCCCCCGCAGTGTCGCAGAGAATAGTTCTACAGTCAATCATCAATACTTGTTCTTACCAGACAATCTCCCAATTTGAGAGTGATTATTGGAGTAGGGGCACGTGACCGCATCACCGCAGAGACACACATGTACACACATCATTAGAGACTAGGACAGACGATTCACTCGGGCCACAGTGCACTCCAGTATGTCATCGGAACGTCGGTCACGATCTTCCTATCACACACCCCTTGGTTGCCATGCCTCAATCAGGAGTCAGGACGGATTATATCATGACGTATCATCTCCATCTGTGTCAAGGACTGCTCTAAGACAGGGGCCGCCGCGCACACTCAAGCATCAACCAACATGTCGTCTCCCCAGCAATTCGTCAACTACGCGCTCGGCGGCTGGGTGAGCTGGGCGTTTTTCCTGTGGGAGGCCGACTGTGCACTGACGGCCATTGCAGGAACTCGCCGTGTGCTCTAGCCTGTTACTGCAAGGCGTGCTACTCGGGCAGACTGCGCGCTACCTCGCCAACGGGTTCCACCGCACGGATCCGACGATCATGCGTGTTTGGGTGGCGGGGCTGCTCGTGCTGTCGCTCGGCCGGAATCTCTTCGGGATGTGCGTTTCCTGCCTGTTGGCGGTGCGAAGCAGACTGAACAATTGTTTGAACTTCGTAGACAGTTGATGTACGAGCAAGATACCGCGCACTATCTCAACTTCCCCGCTGCGCTTGGCGAATGGCTCTCTGCACGATTCGACGCGAGCTTTCTGATTAGCGGCGTACTGGTGTACTACGTGCAGATGTTTTTCTGCTGGCGCCTCTGGGTGTGTTCTCGAGCGCTCCCTATATCCATATGCTTATGCAAGTTCGTGGTGCAGACGCTGTGTAGACAGATATGGCTGCCATCGGCCTTCGCGTTGCTGTTTTCAGCTGGGCTAGTCTGCTCGATTCTCGCAGTGCCCTTGGCTCATATGAAGCAGCCTGTGCGATGGGGTTCGCGCTTCTCTGCATCTCGCCTTGAGTAAACTCACGACCGAGTCCAGCGGCGGCGTACCTCAGCGTCTACTTTGTCAGCGACTTCCTCCTGTGTGGATCCATGATGTTTTTCCTCCTCGTGAGTGTCTCGACTCCCCACCGTCGCTCTGCTCAGGTCCCCGGCAGCGAGACTCTCGCTCACAGCGCGTGTCGCGTGACACGGCCACCGTTCTGAACCGTATTGCGCGGATCACCATCCAGTCGGCGCTGCCCTCCGCGGCGTGCGCGTTGGCCCTCCTCGCGTCATCTCAGAAGAATCCAGACTACGTCGCGGGCAACTCTGCGCTCGCGATCACGGTCGTCCTCACTCAACTGCTGCCCATGTCGTACGCGTACTCGGCCATGTGGACGCTGAATGCGCGGAAGGGCATCCGGGCGGAGATGACTCGGTCCCGGGATGCTACAGGTACGGATCAGAGCGGCTGGGGTGCGGCTGCATCGAAAGCGTAGATTGGATATCATGATGGAGATTGGCCTTTCTTGCGACACATATCATCAACTGCACTTGTATTTGTACTGCACTACATATTCTGTATTTGCCTCATGGAGTTTTTTTTACCGTATCGGATGGAGGTTGACTGTTCTTGTAAGAGCGTTACCCATTCATCGAGGAGCTCGTGATCTCTTTCGGATGTTTCAGCGCAAGTTACTGTGGATTGAGAGTCGTTCGAAATGTCATTCCCTGTCCCGATCGAGCGTAAATTGCTGCTGTCACTGTCAAACTGGAGCCAATCGTTCATATACTGAGTGGCAGTGCCCCTATCGTAGTCTCTTGTAAGTGTACGAGCTGACCGATGGACCACGTGGGACGGGACCGCCAAGGCTAGTGGATAGGCTACTGAATGACCGAACAAGTCCCGAGCGCAGCGGCTTGTTCGGCACTCAAAAATTTACCGACACACATCACGTCGGAATTTGCGTTCTCCTCGAACAAGGAACTTGGAAAACGTCGGGGGATGAAGTTGCCTTGCCAGCATCCGTCGGCGGCCGCTCGCCAAGCTGGAACTGTGGGACGACTACTTCAGCTTCTCTGTGCTTCTGGCCACCCGAACCGAGGCGACATTTCCCAGGACTCCCTGGGATGCAGAGTCACTGTACCTGCATTCTGCAAAACACCATCTCCACGGTTGCGATGCAGATAACATGCCATCTACTTGTGCCCGACCCTTGGCTACCCAAGTTGGAAGTTGAATTAAATTCGGGATACCGATCTCGCCATCAGGAAAATCATTCATTGCGTTCCGATCGAATCCTTCCATTTACGGCTATTCTGGGGTCGCAGAAAAGTCCCACGCGGCCTTCGCGGGCTGCTCACGTCGACTCGTCCGTTCGTTTGTTCGTTCCTACCTCCCCCATCTCACGCAGGACGATCCGCCCAGTTTTCCGCTCTCTCTTACTGCGTACTTGCGCGCAGCTTGGTGCTGGGAACCACATCGCGTCTCGGCTAGGCCCGTGCAGCACTCACACACACTCGCGCGCCGGCTTTTCTTCATCCACACCCCACCTCCACTCGCACGTATGGCCTCCGCACTGGGGTTAGCCTCCATGGTCCCTGCACCCATCGCCACCGCCCTGCCCGCATCCGCGTCGGCGGCCGCCTCTTCCTCTGCTTCTGCTTCTGCCGCTGCTGCAGCCGCCGCTGCCGCAGCAGCAGCCGCAGCAGCCCACGGGGCGCTACCCTCACTTGACAAGACGCTCGGCGCGGCCTTCATCGGCTTCGCAGTCAGCTGCGTCGCACTCGGCGTGAACACGAACCAGGTGGTGACGTACTTCCACCGGTATCCCGGGGACCGCGTGTTCTACAAGCTTACCGTGCGTCCCGTGGCTCTGTTCTTCTTCCTGATGCGGCGCTTACTCGCTACGCAGGTCGGTCTCATATGGTGCGTCGCTGCCCACGCTGGGCTGCATCGGGTGCACGGTTGACGCGGACGCACGCAGGCTGCTGGGGCTCGCGGACCAGGCGTTCATCGGACACGCTATGTACTTCTACTGCATCAAGTGCGTTCTCCCCCTCTCCGTCTAGATCGTCAAGCCAACCTCGCTCGTTCACAGAAACTACGCCAATCCACTCGTCTTCAAAGAGAAGGTCGTGTGGACACTGATTGTGCGTCGTCTGCTCAGATGTGGAGTCGCTTTCTGATAGCAATACCGCCCAGGCCCAACTTCTTCTCGGAGTACGTCGCCTTCCGTGCACAGAAGCTGATACGAGATATTTACCCCTATCTGCCCCAGGCTCTGATTGGAACGATCGTGCGACTGTGGGTTCCTGTCCCATGTCTGTCTGTCCGTGGACACCTGCTGACTGATCGGACACAGATGTTTCACGATGCGTGTCTGGCGGTGTGAGTTCTCATCTCGCTCCTTGGACTCCGTAGTGATCGCTGAGCTGCCGCTTTGGCTGTCCAGTCAGCAAACGCAACATCTTCGTCACGGGCTTTTTGGTGTGTTCCGCGCCATCTGATATACTGTTCTCCCGTGCTGATGATCCCGAAGGTCGCGTTGACACTCGCGGAGATGGGTGAGTGATGCCGTCTTCGTTTGCGTGTTCTCCGGGTCTTATGGTGTGGTCGTTCCAAGGACTCGCTATTGGTAAGCACATCACACTCTATTTGAGATGATGAGGCTGACTATCAGCCAGTTTTCACTCTCCGGATGTCCGTACTTAACATCTTATTTACGAACGATTACTCACTCCCTCTCAGTTTCCAGAACCCATTCATTAATGTTCTTCCCACTCTCAAAGTATTCGCGCGTTTTCCCGGCCTCAAGTGCAAATGTCTGAGAAATCTGTCACAGGTTATCGCTTCTCTGGCATTGGGCGCTAGCGTCATCGTAGACGCAGCCATCGCTGGCGCACTTGCTTTCTTTCTGCGGCAATTCCGCACGGGCCATAAGCGCTCCGACTCACTAGTCAACACTCTGACGATTTACGCAGTCAACACCGGCGCGCTGACAGCCGCCATCAGCTTGTGCACCCTGCTTATCGTACGTATCCGAAGAGCCTTGTTCTGCATACCACGGCTGACTCGAAGACCAGTACGACGAAGACCCGTCGCATTTTATCTACATGTCGTTTTACTTCATCCTGAGCAAACGTGCGGCGTCTCCTCTTCTCTTCTCTTCTCTCCGCACCCAAGCTTACATGTTCCCGCCAGTATACTCGATATCCTTCCTCACGACGCTCAACACGCGCAAGATCATCCGCGGGAAAGGCACTGAGCGGAGCGGCGCGGATCCGACGTCAGGCGGCACGCGCAACCCGCTCAACATCTCGGGTAACCAGTTCTACGTCAACCAGCTGTCACGCGGGAACGGCACCCCCGTCAACGGCGGGCACGGTGCGACCTCGTCGTTCTCTGGCCTGCGGAGTATGGTGGACACCAAGGTCGGTGCAGCCATAACTCGTGATTTTTATCACTCGCGGCTGATGGTAAATTATTCTCAGATGCATATTGGAGTCCACCAGGAGGTCAGTGTGGTCTCCGACGTCGACCTCGAGGAGGGGAACAATTTCAACTACGAGATGGCCGAGCGTGAGCGGCAGTATTATGGCCATGCGCGGTAGCTCGTCCAGAAAACCCCGCAACTGTAACAAATATTCCATTCCGAAAGTATCTTACTCATTAACCACAGCACACACTCTTTGTATCTTTCAGCTTTTCTTTCGGGGTTCGATGTATCATTTTAGTCATGCGAGACGCGTTGAGGAACGATTATTCTTCTTTGAATATAACCGTGCATTTCCAAACTTCTGACTGGGCCGTTCGAGCCACTTGCACACGTGGAATGAGTTGATTTTTTTCATGGGAATTAATTAGCAGATCGCGTGTAATGCATTGCTCCGTCCACTGCACAGATGTGGGATTCGATGGTTGCAAAGCTCTGAGAGGCATTTGATCGGGTAGACCAGATCGGGGGCCACCTTCGTCGTACTTGCTTCCTCTCGTTCTTGATCTGGAGTGAGCCATATCGAGAACTGTCAGGGGAGCACGTGACCGACTATGTCTGTGTGCGAACTGATTGTTTGTGCATCCGCGGCTAGAGTGAGAAGCGAGGCAAGCGGGAAAATTCAGAATTCGTATCAAATACGTGTGAACCTTTCGCCAAGTTCAGCTGCGAGGCGAGCTCGATTGACCTCCTGGTTCATTGCCGTTCCGGGCACCGATTATCGATTATTTGCGCGGAACGCAGCTGCACAGACAGATCTTGCCGCTGGTCATACTAGTCGCTGAAATTTGCATGTATTATAGAAAAAGTGTGCAACGTGCCTGGATAGTCATCAGACAAGTTGACCTGAGATTGATTCATGAACTCATTCGTTGTCTAGGAGATATCGCCAACCAAAAGTCCGAGAAAGCTGAACTAAAGATGGGAGCGCCCCAATCTGCCCATCGCTCAAGTGAGCGTGGTCCATTCTGTTTCAAACAAACGTCCAAGCACCAAAAACGACGACCAGCTACAAGCGCAGATTTCAGCGGTCAGTAGCCGGCGTCGTATGCTGCTGCTTTACAAGTGCGTCGACGGGATCTGTCTCAATGTTCAGCAAAAGGTTTCGGCAGACGCCGGACGGATCGGGACCTTGATTTATCCGCGGTGCCTTTTATTGGTAGATACTTCCCACACACACACACTCCTCGCCCCCGTCCTTCCGCTCTGCTAATCTGCCGCAGCCATGACCGTCCTGCAAGAATTCACTTTCGAGGCCGAGTCGATCCTGGAGGGCGCGATCCGGAACGCCGAAGACCGAGCTCGGCGCTACACGCTCGAGACGAGCAAGTCCGAGCACGCGCGGCAGACGACGACAGTCGAAAATCGCGTGGCGACGATCTGCGCAAACATCGACTGGCGCACGCGCAGCTTCAAGATCGGGCAGAATGAGTCTGGGGTGGACGTCATGAAGCGTGCGGGGAGCGCGTTTTCCAGGTGCGCCCCTGGTGTTGTGCTTCTCCCCGCTGGAGGTCCGTTGAACGAGTCCCTGTGCAGCGTGAGATACTGGAGGTGGCTCGGGGGCGAGGAGTACCAGCTCAAGTACTCCAACTCGGCGGATGCGTGGACGGTGCGTCGGGTTCGTCTCTCGTTTCGGCTTGCGCAATTTGGGTTCCGGGCTCACAGCTTGCAACAACAGGTGTCGGACGCGAACGGAACCGTTCTCGCCGAACTCAAATCGTCCATCTCACCTATCTTCGGCCAGACGTCGCTGCCCCTACTACGTATCAGCCCGACCGTGCGTAGCGAGGAGGAGCGCCTATTCTTTCTGCTCGTATTGGTGTACTCTGAGACCAAGAGGCTGGATAGACAGGGTTGATGAAAGTGCTCAGATCTTGGTGTATTTCGTCCATGGAGAAGATAAGCAGCGTCTCCTCAGGGTGCTACATTGCGAATATACGAACGAACAGCTCGTGACGACCGTAACAAACTACTTGTCATATACTCGTGATGCCTTGATAGAAATGCAACGGCCAACGGTCGTCGTGTTACTTCTGCGCTTGGACAGTATTCGTCTCATTGCCCGCATGATGTCAGGAATGCCAATCGTCAGTTTCTCGGTAACCTTCAACGGCGACATTCAGACAATGGTCTGTAGTCAATCCAACGACATAAAGGTCGCTGACAAGAAGCAGTTTTAGATAGGCTTCGAGATCGCTCCGCAGCACATGTACCTGTCAAAAGCCCGCTTGGACATCGCTGGGTCTGCCAGCTGCTAAGAATTCATCGCATCAAATGGATATGATTGACAAGGGAACATAAAAGAAGGGTCGATGTACGTAAGTAAGAGGACGTCAACCCTGAATTCGATACACGGGCACGCGAGGAGTGAAAATCACAACTGGCGTTTGCGAATAAAGATCCCCGCGGACCCATTCGGCGCCGAAATCATTCCATGGTCGTCATTGGCAGGGCGAACACCAGGCACCTCGGCTTTGATATCGTAGTTGATGAGGATGTGGGCCAACATGGCCTTGATCTCGGTAGCAGCGAAGAACCGGCCGGGGCAGGCGTGCCTGCCGTGCCCAAAGGCGAGGTGCTCAATGCTGGTCGTAACCATGTGGCTGTTGAATATCCCTTCCTCGACGCTGTGATTGTCGGCCTTAGCCTCCCGAAGATCGGAGTAACGGAACCCATTGAAGACTTCCGGGTCCTTGTGAATAGCTGACCCTAGTTAGTGGCGATGGAGAACAAGCAGATTGGTTTGCTTACTCGGATCGTAGTGAACGGTTTTGCCAGGGACAAAGATGAGTGAGCCGTAAGGGATTTTGATACCGTCGGAGAAAGTGAAACCATCGGGATGAATGACTTTACGGCTCATCGCCACTACAGTGGTTCAGAACGCAGAATGGTCGTCTCTGACAGATACGGTGCATACCAGGTCCGTTCCCCTGCATGCGCTGGGTCTCTCTGATGAAACTGTCGATCTTGTGCATGCTGTTGAGAGCCGATTTGGTCCAGCCTTCCGCCCTGATCACGTTCTCAGCCTCTTCACGCATCGGTTCAAGGTATCCCGGGCGCGAAGTGATATCGAACAGAGCGTGGGTGAGCGCCTAAAGAATAAGCGTTAAATTCCGTCGACTCCCCCAACGACACACAAGCGCACCATCGAACTGGTGTGAATAGCAGCCATATTAAGGGCAAGAATGCGAGCAGCAATGGGCTCAGGGTGTCTTCCCTCAGGACCGGCAGATTCCAGCAGCCAGGAAATCAAGTCATTCTGTTCAAATTTAGCGGACAGAGAAGTCAAGGATGATGCGGGAGCGTACCGGTTTGCCTTCGTAGTTGGGACCGAGCGCATCTTCCTTGGCAATGCGCTCTTCGATTATGGAGCCCACGAATCCCAGCATCTCCCGCAAACGTTTCATTCTGGTCACAATGAAAGGCGCGACAAGCCTAATGAAACATTCAATTGCGAGGCAAAAAAGGATCTGAGCTCGAGCTCACGGCTTGAGAAATTCGGGCCAGGCACTCAGTTTTTCGCCGCGTTGAACGATCTCAATGGTGTTCATCACGGTCAAGTTAAGGTACGTTTCGTTTCGGCCTGCATAGATGGGTCAAAAGGAGTTGCACGGCGTTGTGGAACTGCCCCTTACACAATGGCAATCCCACAAAGAGGCGATTGCTGGTTCGAGAAACGACCTTCATCATAGCGGGTATAACCGGGACGAGCTTCCAATCTGTCGTTGGGTCAGAGTGCGAAACAGTGTGATTAGGAACTGAAACAGACCGTCGTCATGCAGCGCAAAGACATCGTCCATTGCGCACTCGATTTCGTCCCTGACCTCCGGGAAAACCTTTCCCAAGTTGCGGGTCAAACTCGTCCGAACGGCGATGGTGTGGAACGAGTTTTTAATCAGCTCGGTACCCATGGTGTATTTGATCTGGATCGCCTGTAGCAGTCTGAGCAAAACATGGCGCAAGAAACAGTATTTTAATTAGACTCACATCCCCGGATCCCTCATCAAACGAGAGAATTTCTGAGGCGGCCGCGCTAACTTCCTTGACTCGCTGGGGGCTTGTGACGACGTAGTCCCAGCGCCAGCGACGCGGGATCCGGAAAACGCCGTCCTTGAGCTCGTCGTAGCCAGTCTGGATAACCTCCATTGGCTGCTCCTCGAAGTAGTGAGCAGCCTTCAGCGAATCGATCCAGCCACCCGAGCCAATAACAGCGGGTACGGGACTCTGCAGAGAAAAATCAGGCGACGACGGGAGACCCTCGAGATTGCTAGACGACACACCTTCTGATTGAGCCTCTTCACCAACCAAACACCCGCGAAGGGGAGAACAGCGACCAGGCCATAAACCGCCACCGTGGATGTGTCTAAGTTGCTCATGATAAAGTGGCGCAGTGATAGTTGAAAAATGGGAGAGACAAGAACTGCGTGTCCTTCGTTCCATAGACACACTTCTTATATGGTTCAGGTGAATCTATCTGACGGCCCATTATCAGAAGAATGCACTGTTCGACGGCCCGCTGACAACAAGGTATGTGCAACTCAAGTAGCTTCGTTCAAGTGATGGCCCGAAACATGGCCCAAGAACACGACCGTCCGTGATTTCAGATGACCAATGGTTGATTAGACCCCGATCAATCGGCCACAATGCCCGTGCAATGCCCGCCACCACCGAACACAAGTTGCAGCGCATGATACAAGACACGTCGAATAGTTCCCTCGAGGCCTCTTAAGCTTTGGCAGTATGGCAAATTCTGTATACCTGGGAGGATTGGAGACCAATTTCTAGACAGCGGCGGGTCCTGTCAGAATCGGATCGGGTCAGCCGTGCTTTCCTGTTTGCGATTGACTTGATGGGAATGTTTGGTCTGGTCACCCAAGGAAAATACGCCAGGGGAAGTAAATGGCAACACCATCAGCATGGAAAGATGAGAAACACTTACCCCAGAACTTGTTTGGTAAACAATATGTATGCACTTTCAATGTCTAAAAATGGAAATCACATGCAAAACATGTTCAATTTTAATGATGGAAGTTGAACGTGCAACCCAAAAGGGATGCCGTTCCGAACCATTGATCCGATCACGATAAGGACATAAGGAATGATCTACAATCCAAGCACGTGACACGTCAGAGTCAATTGCCGGGAACTCGTTGTTCCTGTTTTGTCTTCCCCATCCCTCCGTGCCTTGGCCCTCAACGCTTTGGCCCTCGACCTTGCTTTGTCCCCAGAAGGATGATGGAATGAATCGCATGTATCAGGATCATCAGTTACCACTTCCTCGACAATGGCCCCCTCTTCCATGCTATTCCAACACGCTGACGACCTCTGGTCCCCAGGCGATTTGCACGATCTGGTCGTCATCCACGCAGAGATTTCAATGCTCCATGTGACGCGCCAGCCACTTTTATAGTTCCCGCACGTGCTGGAGTCGTTGCCCAACCTGCAAGACGATGCGTCCAGTGGAAACATGGAGCGAGAGTACCTGGAAGGCATCATGATTCTGCCCTTATACGACACAGCCCACGAGACCGAGCGCTTTTTACGTGCGATGTTTCGACATACGTGCGTCGGGGTCGTCTCATAACTAGCTTAGGGCCTAGGCATATCTCGATCTAAGACATTCTGCAGCTCGTTCGGCCAAACCAGGTCAGAAGACCTCTAACTGGTCGCGGTCCTCGGCGTTCTGCGGCTGGCACACAAGTACCAAGCGAAGCCCCTCATCCGACAAGCTTTGGTCAAGCTAGAGGAGATCTAGCCCACCACCTTCTCGGACCACTTCCAGAGGAAATGGCAGCCCTACCTTGACCGGCGGACCCCAGCGAGCGTGCGGAGATCCTGCAGGGTCATCTAGACGCGCTCTCCACTGTGCTCGCTGTTCAAGCCCGCTGGCTTCTCTCAGCCATCATCTGCGCCGTCTCCACGTACTCGCTCGACGACGATCCCGCTCTGGCTAGCAGTGGGCGGGCCTGTCCCCGGCGCTACACATGACGTGCCGCTCGATGCAGATGTGCAACCGGCGGATAAACTCGAAGCTGCGTAGACTCCCTATCAACCACGAGTTCGAGTGGGGCTGCGAGTCGTGTGCTGTCGGAAAGATGGGCTAGTGGGTCGAAGGGATTGGGTGCAGACTGGATTGGGCTGAAGCAGAGGGGAGTTCGGATGTTGTTTGTTCTGACTTTGACTCGGAGGATGAGGGAACAGTCCGCGTGCCTGGATCGCTCCCCATGCGGAAACACCCCCTCAGTCAGATGCGGAGCACCAAGTGCATGAGTGCGCACAGGAGATCATTCCCGGCGCCGTGTTAACAAGCCATCAAGCAGGTGGATGGGGAGCTGCTGGATATGTTCTGGGATCATATGCCCGCACAGTGCGGTCTCCCAAGCTGGGGCATTCTGGAGAGGGAGAAGGCATCGGCACTACGGAATGGTGCTCTGTAGTCAGTTCGATCGACTTCTGTGCTGCCTACTGTGTATCGATCATAGCAGTCTGGCTCTGCATTGAAAAATTGGTCAATTTTGGTCTGGGATTCATCTGGGACACTTCGTGGTCCTCTCCGCCATAGTATTAGTAAGTACGTACGTACACGAGTGAGTACATGATTAGATAGATACCGCATTATTGAGTATTAACTAGAACATCGGCATTATATGCGGACTAACAGTCCTCACAAAGATGAAGGGCCAGGATGGATCACCGCTCAGCTGACCGCACCATCCGGCTGGCACCAGCCGGCGCACTGAGCCCACTGCGCATAGGATGTGACGACGGCTGTCGATAGCGCAACGCAGCCGCACTGAGATCCCGCTCTGACATGGGCAGCTCCTCCGATCTGGGAATGGTCGTGCCCGGCGGAGTCGAATGGGCGCGCGAGACCGAGCTGGGTGATGCCGGGATTGAAATCGATATTGGCGTGGCAATTGAAGAGGGCGTGGACCATGCGGACGCCGACGAGGAAGACGAAGACATGCCTACGGGTATCCGCGGGTAGTATCCACTGCCCGCGGGACGGAAGACCAGCATATCCGCCGACGCATCTGCATAGATGCCGCCGGCTGCTTCAGCAGCATCAGATAGTGGTGGGCTGTAATGCAGTACACGATCGACCGGGGTTGTACGAGCGCGTCCATGAGTAGATGTGTAATCAGATGTGTCGTAGCCAAAGCCAGGCGCCAGTCCGTGCCCGGTGTGTAGCCGACCGTAGCGATTCTCATCATCCGAGTCGGTAATGACCTCCAAGGGAGGCATGGTCGGGGAGTGTGCAGCCGATGCCGTGCTGTGATTCATCCGCGAGAAGCCGAAACCCCTCGCCTGGCGCTGCATGCGCGGTGGCGAGGGCTCGCGGCTACGTCGTGTGATCGCATCGACAATGTCAAGGACGTGCGGAGAGGGTGAATGGGAAGGGGTGTGTTTGCGACGCCGCGCAAGAGGCGGAGAGACGGCATCCGAAAGGAGCGTGTAGTGGACCCGCGGCAAGCCCGAAAAGCAGTCCGCGTGGGAGTTGCATGCAGTTTTGAGCAGTCCGAGTGTGTTGCCGCTGTTCATCTCCGTCAGCAAGGCCCGACAAGGGAATGGAGAGAGAGATGACACCCACCAAACCGCACACCCGACGCCGTTGGTCACACACCCACACACGTCGACCCGCGGGCCTCCACCGAGGATTTTCTTCTGCGCAACAGTGAAGTACTCGTCCCCGAGGGGAATAACTGTGGCGCCGGATCCTTCGCCCGGCGCATACCATGTCCTGCCGGATGTCGGCGACGCTCTGGCGTGGACGAGCGCCCCGCACCCTGTGCTCCTCGTGCCAGTGCGCTGGGCGGAACACCCCGGCTCCGGAGCCGACGATTCCAGCGGTGTGGGCAAGCACGGGACCCGATACCTCTCCTTTTCTCCGTCCCCTCCGACCTCCAGCTGCGCGGCAAGGAGATCCGGTGGGACTCCCAGCGGGGCGCCGCAGGTCAGCCTTGTCGTCTCCTTCGACAGCTGCGATCTGCGGCCCAGGCCGAGACCCAGAGCTGACGCGGGGGGATAGAGAGCCGGTGAAGAGCGTGCCGGCGGCGTCGTTGTCAGCGTCGAGCTACTAGAGTACCATGTATCCGACATCCAGATAGTGGGTGTGGGGGCGGGGAAAGGTGGCGAGAAGCCTGGCGAAGGGGATGGGTAATCAAGAGAAAAGGGAGGGGGAGGAAGAGAGATGGACTAGATAGGAGATGCCGTCGGCGCACGCGAGACAGGAGGAGCTAGGTCATCCGCACTTGATCGAGCACGACCCCCACAGTACAGGCGGATCGAAAAAGAATCAAAACCCGGGAGGACTTCTTGGCCCCCGGGACCGACGTTTCATTCGGTGTTGCGCAGACGTGGCGGAGATACGTCGCCATTTCGATCGTCGTTGTCGCTGTCGCTGGAGGTCGAGACCGATCGTAGACACTCGGATGGAAAGCAACGGCACTGGAACCAGGGCACAACCGACACTCAGAATGGACCCCTTCTCCATGTCTCCTGTTGAAGAGCTGTCGAGAATGGACGGGCCTACCACGAGGGCGGCGAAGAGGACAGCAGTGCTTAGAGCACGGGCAGTCTGTTGATGATGTGTGTCTATATCACGTGAGCTTCTCCCGTGATCACGCGAAACCCCCGATCCGTTCAAGGTTCGGAAAAATGTCACCTAGGAGGCTGGTAGAATGGTCTTTTGAGCGACGGGGAAGTATTTGATTGCCGTGGGATGAACTGCCTCAGCAAAGCATCTCGCGGGGATTGTCCTCATCTCGGGTTACATTCCAACCCCTGCCGGATCGTAAGATGGACTTGCCGGCAAGGTAAGCAGGCGTAACATCAGGCTCAGAAGGAAACGTAAAGTCACTGAGTTATTATACTTCATTGGAATACTCACATTTTTCAGCTATCAAGTCCATGCATGGATGTATTTAGTGACTCAGATAGCTGACCGTGTCATTCGCTAAACGGTTGTCACTGAATTTGGAATGAGTTAGGCAGGCAACAACAGACTGCTGGAGCCGTGGGGTTCCAAGGCATGCGAGTCCACCGGAACAAAATTCTGAATGAACTCCCCCAAACCTGCTACCGAGGTCCTTTCGGGAATGAATGGGGGCGGCCTGGCACGACCGGTGGCGAAAAGAAAGCAATGCTCTGTGAGCTATCGTATAATGCGTGAAGTCATGTAAGGGATGTTGAAAACCACTGTGGAATCGTGCCGAGTTCTTGATTGACCGAATTTTATCTGATTATCGTGAACTTTTGGACTCAATCCCCCGTGGCGCTTCTAGTCTTGAATTTTTGGTACACCATAGAAGGAAAATCCATCAGTGCTCAGGGCTGATGCCGAACGGCCCTGCGTATGAAAAGGATAGGAACATGTCTGGGAAGACACGGGAACTCTGAGTCTCAAACTGATCGTCTTGCAAATGCTTTGAAAGCTGGAAAGTTTGCCGAGTCATGCGGTCATTCGAGTGTTTGGAGACCTCAATTTCATAATCTCCTGGATGCTTACCGGACCGGATGAGGCTTTCGTACATTACGAAGGAAATATTTCATCTGTGAGAGTACGAAGGAAATGTTTCATCTTTGAGAGTGCAGGGTGATTCGGGGAGCAACGGCTCCGCTGCCTTAATGGCCTAGTCGTATGATACTTCCTTAGGGCGTCTGAGTGTGAGGGTGGAAGTGGTCCCGCGTTCATTTCGCGGTCGAGGCCATTGCACTTTTTCCTCGGCACAGCTTGTTGAGAGCAACCTCACGCAAGGAATCTCAGCATTCTGCCATAAAACGAACATCGCGCACGCCAATCATTAACCAGCCCTTTCCTTTTTCCCACGCAGCACCTCGCGGACGTACAATCCACGTAGACTCGAGCGAGCCGCCCGTCATCAATTACGGCGCTTCGACTGAACATCCTCTGGAACTCGCTGCGTCCCTTGTTTCCCCCGCCCGTCTCCAGCCCATCCTCGAATTTAACGTCCAAAGCGACGACAGTGCGTAACACATCGGGAGCACGTGCGTCGTGATAATCGTCAGCGTCGTCGCGACGTCGAGGGCGTAGTAGTTCTGATTTATCTGCGACGCGATGAGATCGACCAGCGCGCAGATGACCGCCGGGAGTGCGGATTGGATCGTGATTCGGGCGATCCGGGCAAGAACGTTTGCTGTGTCGCGGAAGAGTTGGCTTGACCTGGCATCAGTCTGGTGGCGGGTAAGCGTGAGCTGCGAAACATAGCTAGCAAACCGACGCTTATGAGGAGATGGTACATCATTGATGCGCAGAGGATCAGATCGCCCGCGAAATAGATGATATAACATGCTGCGGCTGAGAGATCGTCAGGAACGAGTTATAGCATTGGAGAGGCGGATTGGCACACGCACACCATCGGAGCACATATTTCGCATGTGTCGCGGGAACAGAGAGGATTCCTGCGATAGCAGCCCCGACGAATGACAGAGCAATCAGCGATGGCAGCCAGATTCTTCTGCAAAGTGTCTTGGCCATGTGAGCATTATCTGACAAGCAACAAAGAGCAAGACGCACCCAAAGCCGCCAACAGAAGAAGATCTGGACGTAAAACACAAGAACGACGTTCACCAAGTAGCTCGCTTGGCCTTTGAGGGAGATATAGTCCATGAGCACGCCGGATGCATCGAGGAACCGTGTCGTGTTCTGACGGTGCGTGACATACCTATGTATAACATATACAGGCGATATTGTCAGCCATGTCCTCTGCAAAACACGTGAACGCACAAGTCGGACAGGTTCTTCCCCAGCGTGAGAAACAGCAGCCCCACCAGCCACACCCGCATTATGGTCGGATCGGAGCGGTGGAATCCATTCGAGATGTACCGGGCGAACTGCCCCAGCAACACGCCTTGTAGTATGAGACACAGGTTTGTCGACAGGTCCTGCGAGCCTCAGGTCAGCGAGCCTGCGAGCGCAGAGACCAGCGACGACAGCCTCACCCGGCCCCCCAACGAGTATCGCACGAAAGCTTGCGCATCAAAAGAGGCTGACATGGCGCAGAAATGATCGTGGTGGTGAGCAAGGGATGTGCGGGCGTGCCCGCGGATGTCTCTGGGTTCTGACCATCGGTCATGTCTCAGATGCTCGAGTTTCCGCGGGTCCACCTGAGACACAATGTTGAAGACGGAATGAAATAGGGATTCGATGTACGACGGCGAGCATGCTAGCAGTGGAAGGAGGCAAGAGCAGCCATGAATATGCTGCGCTCTGAGACGCAAGTTGATGGCACTGCGCAAGGACCGAATGATCGGGTGACAGAGCCTTCGCGCGTCACAAAGTTGAGGGGGGCCGTCACGCAGCTGCGGAGCCCCGCCATGATTCAGCCAAAGTCTAGGCTTAGTTGCGTTGATGCTTCCTTGGAGCTTGGTTCTAAAAAAAGAATTCCGGACGGAGGCCCGCGCAGTCCACTTCTTCAAAGTAATTAGAATACAAATTACTCGCAATCAGTACATCCTGTGACAAATCTACGCACACTCGTGACATGACAGGTGTCACAGTGACAATCTTGGTCCATCCACCTCACACTGCAGTCTACGCACGTTTGGCGTATGCTCACCAAAGCTTCCACACTTGGATTTCGGGACCAGACAGTTGGAGTCGACCGGATCCTTCCGACCTCGCTCCAACAAATCTCCGGAGGGCCAGAATTGGAGTTCCGTCCTCCACGGCTTCTATACATTTCACGTCAAAACCGATAAATCGAGCAATCTCTGTGATAAGCACGACTTCGATATCAATTCCTGGAAGCTTTCTGCCTCCGCCGAAACTATAGCAGATACTGTAAGCGCCAACGGGGCCGTTTTCTTGATATGCGACGGCTCACCGGAGAAGTCTGCGGGTGAGTTTGAGACTGGCCACCGGTGACCTCAACGGTGGAGCAAAAGCCGCAGCCGGATTCACCAAAGAAGCCTGCTGCGCTCAAGTGCTGCACGCCGTGACCGGTTGGATTCAACCGGTCACGCACATCGGATGCACGCACAGGTACATGCTATGCCCGACGGAATCATTGTCGGCGGTAGAACTCGAATGTCGGTGCACATGACACTCTCAGCAGTTCATGTTCCCCGTCCTCACGCTGATCCTGTCCCCTCTTCTCTTACTTCTGCTGCTTCTCGTCTCCCGCCCTCAGACTTCGTGGCAACATGCATGATGAACATCTGGGCGCTGGAAGGTCAGGCCAGGCCCCTTCACTCGTTCCTTCCCTGCTGAGAACATGCATTTGGAACAGACTTCTTCGGACCGAAGTGTCCACATGAATCCAGTCTCGCACGGTCTCAAAGTACCCGCAGAGTCCTCAATCGGGTCCTGGAACCAGTAGCATTTTCGAATCGCGGAAGAATATTGGAGAGGGGATGGACGATGGAATGGCCCACTCGGTTTCCCTAATGAGCTTATCGTTTACGCCAGGATCAGTGAGCGCAGCCACATCATGTCCCGTGCCACGCTGAGCTGGGCCGAGGCGCGAATCGTACAACGCTGACTGAGCACGGCGGCCAGGAGAAAGGTCCGCCGGGTGGCGCTTGTTCGAGCGCTTTACAGTTCGAGGGTGTGGCTTGACCAGCAGTGCGGCACACTCCTACGTGCTCAGCGCAGGAAGTTGCATGCTCTGCAGCCAATGACGAGCTCGTCAGCGATGATCGTCATGCTTTCCTTTCTCACGGGGTTACTTCGCAAGCTTTACACCTGAATCGATAGCACCTGTCCAAGGGCACAGAAGTGGAGGATCCAGCATTCACTCTGTCATCTGAGGTTTCGCTATCCGGAGATAGAGAGGAGCAAAAAATTCGGGCGCTGCCTTGGCTGGTATTTGGAACCTGGAAGGTGGAAGTACAGAAGGTGAAGTTCGGAGAGGTCAGCTACGTATTGACCGGCGATAGAGAGGAGAATGCCATCTGACTGCAGTTCTCTCTCTCAGCTGGTTTCACGCGTATGACGGAGGCAGAAGAGATCTCCCGGGCTGTCCTTGTGCTGTCTCCTCACTCCATCTTCGCTTTCTGAATGAATGAAGTCATGAGTTCAGCTCCCGCGTCTCGCAAACATGAACTAAGTATACTCGCACGGCATCTGATCCGACTTACGGAACCGCATCATGCTGGAGTTCGCTTGACGCCCCCTCATCACCGTGAGCCTCGGAGCAGCCTAAACTAATGCTGATGCATAACACATGGCTTCTGGTGGGCTTGTGATGCCATCCGGGGTGAATTCTCCCCTGTCGCTGCACACGGCGATGATTGATGTGTACTCTCCGCGTAATTCTCGTGAGCGCTGCGCAATCACACCATGAGTCCCATGCCAGTATTCAATCAAGATATCCTCGCATCTCTTCCATCAGACGCAGGGAGTCGATTCCAAGACGAGGAGAACCCTAGTCCGGTATTGTGGTGAATCGATGAATGTCGAATACAGCCGGTTCTCTGACCAGCTTCTACCACCGCGTTGCGGACTCCGGATTGATATTCACTACCGGCTTCCAGTTCCTAACGATCCCGGAGGCGACCACGCATGCCTTGTCTCAGTTATCTTATTTCCGCACCATTCTGCGTTCGTTCGCAGGATCGCTACCTGCGGCGATCCCGGAACCTTTGTGGTTCATTGTGTTTTCTTTCGCGTAGCCCGCTAGCAGCCTTCTCACTGGCCGATGGAAGCAGCCCATCGCGCTGCTGACGATCGCTTCGGCCATCTATGATATGCTATGTGCGACCACACTCTCGCCCAGCAATCGATCTCAACTCAGGTCGGCAGCGACAGCGCAGTGCGTCCGTCCATCATTGTTTTTTAGATTTTTGACATTTAGACTGTTGCGCCAATGTCTTTCGACGTTCCTCGCGGCGGCGTCTCGTTTATGGCACACAACGTGTGTCGAGCGGGCGTCACGGAGACAGCGAGATTATCACTGCAAGACTCTTATCAATGAATCGTCGTGAGGCCAAGTCAACTAAGTGGACCTGTCAAGCGTCTAAACTGATGCATCGATGGTATTGATTACAATTTAAGTCTGCCAATCCAAGTCCAAGCCATCTAATCAAGGGTATTGGAGCACGAAAATCGTTTCAGAGTCGACACAGTGAGCTTCAGACCAAGTATTTCAATGACCGAGCAAAAATGATTGAAGCATGTATTGAAAAGAAACCACAACACAACTACAGTTAACGATGCTACTTACACAAGTTCTGAATCCGGACGCGTTATTTACATACACGAAGCCAAAGCCATGCTATCCCCGCCGAGCTCCAGGCGCGCTCTGATCAACCAGCAGTGTGCAGCGAAGTGAGCATGTCCGGGATCGCGTCGTTCTCGCGGCGGTTGCCCGGATCCTGGACGACCTCGCGCATCGTCTCGCCCTTCCCGTTGCTGTACATCACGACATCGCCCTCGTCCTCGATATAGCAGCAAGTGGTGAACGAGCGGTAGAGCGCGTAGAACGTATTCTGTGTGGATGGAAATGTCAGCAACGAATATGCACAATTCAGTAGTATTTTTGGACGCACCGTGTTATCGCCGTTGTAGTGCTCCCCGAGCACAGCCTTGATGCGCTTGGTTACCTCAGGTTGGTTGTCTAGACGAGAGCCGGTCAGTACACGGATCTCTGCGTCTGAATATCGACATACAGTAGGGAATGGAAGTGAACAGGTGGTGACCAATGTGGTCGTGCGAGACCTGTTGAAAGGGTCAAACTTTGAAGCCAGAAACGCACAACGAACACCTACGTTGTGGAAATACAGTCGGCCGATGTATCCTAGCAGCGGACGATCGACGGTGGCGAGACATCCTCGCAGGAAGGTCCACTGTCCCTTGCGGTAGTGAGGCAGGGTCGGGTCGGAGTGGTGCAGGTAAGTCAACATCACGATCCAGTGGTGGCAGAGCTAGAGCGGACGATCAGAACACTCGGGAGCTCCTGAATTGTAGTGAGACGAACCAGGTACGGGAAAATGTACTGCTTGAAAACATTGGCAGCGCCGACTTGCATCCCGTATCTGATGAGAATCGACGAGGTGACGACGAGCCCGGCGTCGGAGAGGACGATGTTCCAGAAATCTTCAGGCTTGAACAGCACAGAGTATGGCGAAAAGTGCTGTCGAATTCGTCAATAGTAGCACGCAAAAAGACGCTGCGAGACTCACGTTGGTGCCAGCGGGGTCATGAGGCGACCCGAGGGTGTTGAAGAGGAGGTAGACCTGGAATCCGAGGAGCTGCATGACGAGCATGCGGACCAACGTGTATAGCGGCGTCTCCTCGAACATCTCATGCAGCTGCTCCTTCGTCGTGATACCGAGCTCCGATTTCGTGCGAGGCACATAGTTCTCATCGCGCTCGATCGAGCCCACAGTTTTCTAACCAAAAACGCATCAGCCATCACGTGCGGCGGCTAGTATCCCCATGTGCGGCGGGCGACTCACGTGGTGCGTGTGGTGGGACCGCTTCCAGGCAAAGTACGGTGTCAGGAGCGCGGTGTGGAGAATGAATCCAACGGTATCGTTGACGACGCCGTAGGGCGAGACGTTCTGGTGCCCGGCCTCGTGTCCTGATCACGATCACGGCAACGGTCAGCGGCGCAGCACGGAGGAAGTAGCGGAGGGGGATATCACGAACCGAGACACCAGCATCCAGCCATGGCGATGCTCTGCGCGTACCAGTACGCGGACCACAGCGACCACTTGAGCACCGACGCGACGCCAGGCGTGAGCTCGCGCGCCGCGGCGACTTCCGCGGCGAACACGTCGATCCGTTGGCCGAGGGCGAAGAGGATGACGACGGAAGCGACGTCCTTGACGAAACTGACCATCCCGCGGAATGTCGACTTACGGAACAGCTCGGGGGGAATTACCGCGCGCAGTTCTTTCCACGTAATCTGTCCTCTCCAAATGAGCTGCCAGTCGTAGCGGAAACAGGGCTGCAGCTTACGGTGGGCGGCGAGAACGGCGTGTTCCGCCTCTTGATGTATTCCGGGCTTTCGCTAAACATGGGGAGTGCCTGAGAGTGCTCGAAGGCGGGGCTGGGGAATCGGACGAAACGAGAGCGAAAACTTGCCAGCACTCGATATATGTCGTGCGGTGTCCTAAGAGCATCGTGATTAATCTCACGGCAGATCTCGCCACTGCCGAGAAGCTGTTCCGAAAGAGGAAGTGAGCCCCACCGCGTGTGCAGTGCACAGCACCAAATGGAGTTAGACATAATGCCATGCCCTCACTTGATGATCGATCCATCAGTGTCCGCTATGCATGTTGATGGGGAGCACAAATCGCGTTCCGTGTAACAGGGAGAAAGGTATTACGGGGCTTGGCATGCTTTCGCGCAGAGTGGTGGGAACGAGCGGGGGCTGATGACCACCCGGCCCTCTTGCGATTCGCGGGGCCTCTCCAGAATCCACACGCCCGATTGGCGCTCGGCCAGGGGTATATGACAACAGACATGATTACAGTCTTACTGGTCAGCTCCGATACGGAGTTTAGCTCGCAGAAGACCCACTTTCATGATTCTATGAAGAGCGTGACTGGAAGAACACCAGAGAAGAATGCGGGCGTCCGCAGATAGCATGGCAGAGCTCCCCCTTCGCTTCAAACATAGGTGGAGAGTGGACATTGAGCGGACGTAATGATAGGACTGGACGGCTGTTGCTTGTTGTCCGTGGACGAAGCAACTCCTCATCCAGGTCGGATGTTGGCCTTCTCGACGAGAGAACTCGGTGAAACCCACGGTGAAACCCGCGGTGCTCTCGCCATCATCTACGCTGATGGTGCACACGACGATGGGGTGGACGGCCCGTGCAGTGCGTAAAATGCGTATCAGTCTTCGCAGGCCGGGAATAGTGGTTAGCATATCTGACGGGTCAGATACTTTTCCCGAAACCCGTCGCAGTGGATGTGGGCCGATCCCAGATGCAGTATGTAATCAGTGTCCGGTGCATTTCTCGATGCGGATAGCTAAGTGATTGCAAGAAGATGCATGCTTCTTCGATCTGTCGACTGGCCGGGGAGACTATGGGATCCTGGATCTGTCCTGCTTCTTGTTCGACATGATGGCTAGCATGTGTTAGCTCACCATGCATCCTCAGATCTCTTTCCCCTCAAAAAAAGATCTCGCTAATTTCCGTGCTTTCTATATCTTGACCAGTGTTTGCAGCAGATATCCCCACCGCCCCTCGCTCAGTCTTCAGCTGCTTTGCCATGGCACCCCGGGTCAACAAGGAAGAACAGGAATTCGTTCCTTTGCAGTAGTACGCCGCCTCCGCTTTTCGTCGGCCGTTCACTGAGCTGACGGCTATCTGCAGCACGCTGAAGGACGTCCGGGACCATATCCCCGCAAAGTTCTTTGAGCGCAAGACCGGACTCGCGTTTTCGTACTTGGCCCGCGACCTCGTCATCTCCGGCGCATTCTTCTACCTTGCGACGCACATCGACACCACCCTCAAGTCCTACCTCGTCAATGCCGGCGCGACCCCGCTCGCGCTCACGGCAGCGAACTGGGCTGCATGGTTGACCTAGTCAGTCTCTGTTCCTGAGCGCAACGTTGCTCGGTCGCTCATTTAGCCCTTCAGCTGGTGGTTCCAGGGTCTTGCCTTCACCGGCATCTGGGTTATTGGTCACGAGGTGCGCATCTATCCGCGGGCGTTATAAATAGCCGTGGCTAACGTAGAGATCCGTACCCAGTGCGGCCACGGCGCGTTTTCCGCCAGCCGCAGCATCTCTGACCTCGTCGGCTACATCACCCACACATTCCTGCTTACGCCGTACTTCAGCTGGCGCTACGTCCACCACCGACACCACTCGCACCACGCGTCGATCGAGAACGACGAGGTGTATGTCCCGCACACCCGGAAAGAACTCAACCTGCCGGAGCACACCGAGGGCCTGGAGCTCGAGGAGCTGTTCGGCGACACGCCGCTGTACACGCTGACGATGCTGCTCATCCAGCAGTTCATTGCGTTCCCTGCCTATCTGCGTGCGTTGGCAACTGTCGTCAGACATCGGACTGGCCGACGGATGGGCTGACATTTGATCGCAGTGTTCAACGTGTCCGGACAACAGCGGTATCCGAAGTACTCGAACCATTTCAACCGTGCGTCTTCCTTGCTTCTCTTGATGCGCGATCGGCCGCGCTGACATTCTTTGGCGAACGCAGCGAACGCGATCATGTTCAACAAAGGCCAGGGCTTCTACGTGATGCTCTCCACGGCCGGCCTCGCTGCGATGGGCGTCATCTTGTATGACCTCTCGATGCGCTTTGGTGCGATGAACGTCCTCAAGCTCTACGGGATCCCCTGGTTCCTCGTCACCCACTGGTTCATCATGATCACCTACCTGCACCACACGGACCCGATCCTGCCGCACTACCGCAAGGGACAGTGGAACTTCCAGCGTGGCGCAGCGGCTACCGTCGACCGGGACTTCCTCGGCTGGCAGGGGCGCTTCTTCCTCCATGATGGTGCGTTGTGGGCGCTGTTCCGCTCTTCTCCGGTCATGTGGCTCGTGTTCTTATCTTTCGATGCGCAGTCGCGCACTACCACGTCATCCACCACTTCTTCCCTATGATGCCGTGGTACAGCGGTGCCGAGGCGACCAAGTACCTCAAGGAAATGATCGGCCCCCACTACCACCGCTCGAGCGACTATGTCTTCAAGGCCCTGTGGTACAACTACAACTTCTGCCAGTTCATCGAGGACGAGGGTGCGTGTCTGGCATCTTGCTTGCCGTGTCTGTTTTCTCATCCAGCCCAACCATTTCAGGTGACATTGCATTCTACCGCAACCGACAGGGCAAGTCGGCGTTCGACATCCCTGAGCTCAAGGCCAACGTGCTGGGCAGTTAAACGGGGACAAGGAGTCCGGGACTCAAGCAGCAGTTGAAACCATTTATCTATGATTCAATGCATTGGATCCCGCGGGCCCTTGTTGTATTAGTGGAGGACAAAGCCAGTTGTCCCTCGTAGTCTTTTTCCCCTGTAATTTGTAGAGAATTTGCATTGCGTGACGTGGTACCATGCATCATAGTCAGTCCGTTGTCACGCAAGTAAATTGACGCGACCGTTGCCACTGCCTTAGCCATCAGCAATCAATAGAACTCGGCAGTCTGATCAAGCATCAGTTGCGAGTTCATCGGTATCAGTCGATCTCGAGTACTGCCTTCGGCCATGCGCACAGCACGGATCCACTCAGCTGAAGGAAAGCCAGGGGCTGATGCATGGAGTGGTAAAATGTCGATTCAAAACTCATGCCAGACACTCAATGATTAGATGGATGGATACAGCCGCGAAGCGAAGTTCATCAACGAACGCCGCTCCCTGGAGTGCGGTTGATCGCGATGAGTTAGGTACATCTCGTGTTAGATTGCCTTGACCGTAACGGACGTCGCACAGGAAACCGATGAAAAGCCGGTTTTCAAGGTCAATTCAGTTGAAACCGTCCGGTCCGCATGTCTCTCACGCGGGAGATCCAAGGCACAAAACTCAACAATCGTACGGGAATTGCTCAACCGCGTGGTAAAACGCACCGTTCTACCTATCAGGAGCACGAAACAGTCGATCACACGTACTGTATCACGTCCATCCAGCCAAACTTGTCCACAGCAAAGATCAGCCCCAACGCATCGTCGAGCACAATCGATACATAGTTCTTCAGCCGCCACCGGCCCAGATTCAGCTTCTCAAACGTCCAAACGCGTTTCGCACAGTCGAACCGGCAGATGCCGGCGTACGAATGGGCCTCAGGATGCCGCGCGGCCGCCACATCGAGATCCGCGGGGACGCAGAGCAGCAGGACGTACGTCCCGCTCTGCCCGACTGCGACGTTCAGCACAGGGTCGGGGTGCTCGTACCAGTACACCGCCGGGTCAAGTGCGAACGGTTCAGCGGATTGCGGGCTCGGATCCGGGCGAGTGACCCAAATATGCAGGAAATGCGTCTGGCTCCCATCCTCGTTCCGGCCGCTCACCTGAAACGCGCGGTCCGACACGGCAAACACGCCGTGGGTCGGGACGAAAGCCTGGAACGCGAACCACGTCGTGTTGCGCAGCTCGCCGGTTGCGTAGAGCGCCGATTGACTCGGTGCGAACGGGTACGGGATGTCGTACGTCGCACACTGCGGCGTCTCTAGGCTCGCCGCCAGGGCCGATTCGGCGGAGAAGTCCTCGGGTAAGCAGAACGTCTGGACGGCGGAGTCGCGGCTCAGATCGCCGGCGGAGAAGTGGTACAGGTGCTGATCGGTGATCACACAACTGGAGACGAAAGACGAACCCTTGAAAATCCCGTTAGAAGATCGGCGGAGTGTCCTAATGGGTGTGCGCTACTCACCGACGGTCGCGGTGTTTGCCGAACAATGTGGACCGGAGCCGACTCTGACATAGTCCACACCGCGCTAAGTTTCTGTGTCCTGAACCCCAGCACGCGTGGATCAGCGAAAAAGAACAGATTGTGCTGATACCGGCTGGCCATGGGCGGGGACACCGTGTGCGAGATGTCCACCGGTCCGTCGGGCTCGCCGTAGCTGATGCATATAGCGACGAGCTGGTTGAAGAAAGGTCTGCACGGAGATTAGATTAGATGACCGCGATTCATCACATCGAGTGGATCCGATACGCACCCGATGCTCCCGACAATCAGCGCCCGCCCCTCCTCTCGGACACAGGCCACCTGGCTATGCATGATCAGATGGGGGACCTCGAGCGACGCAGCGAGCGTCGGCAGGCCGTGCCCCGTCCGCCAACACCGCAGATGGCCTCTCGCAGACGTCACGACGAAATACGCGCCTGGGATGCTGCATAGCTTGACCGGGTCCGGGTGCGGCACCTGCTTGTAGTCCACGAACAGACTGAACGCCCGCGGTTGCTGCCGCGGGGGCGGCTCCCGCCAGGCCCGCAGCACGCGCATAGACTGGAGGAAGAGACGCCGCAGTTGAGGCGCGCTCCATGTGCCCGCCCAGTCCGTCTGGGGGGCGACGGCGAGTGGGTGGTTCAGCCCCCATTGGGACTCGACCTGCGCTAGGGCACGCAGCCATGGGAGGCGCTCCGCACCGACCGTCCTGAAAGCCCTGCATGCCTGAGTCGCGTGAGCTTCCGCGACACTGCTTATCGCCGGCCCACGGCTCACCGCGAAGAAGCTGGGCAGGACGCACACGTCGGCCCAGTGTGCGATCTCGGCGATGACATCGTAGGGCAGAGCGTTGGCTGGTGTCTTCACGCGCGCGCAGTCGGACGGGTTCGGGTCTGGCTCTGCAATCTCATCGTGCATGAGCTGGGTGGGGTGTGGTAGGATGCTGACAGCCTTCATCACGTAACTCGTGCGAGCGCAACGTGATTTGATAGAGCGCATCAAAAGGCAAGCAGGATTCTTCACCGATTGATTCAAGTTTAGTACGAAAGATCAGGGCCCGGGTATCATCATCCTTCATGTGTGATTCATCACGAAGATTGTCAAGAGTCCACTTTATCAGGACAGTATACACGCTGCATCACAGTCAACATACTTATGGATTGTCCTTCTGTGCTGCTAAGTAGCTGTGCGCAGGAGGCAGTGCTGGGAGTGCCGGATGTGAATGGTCCCGCTGAGCCAAAATAGAATCACATAGTCCCCACTTGTGAGTCACTTTGAGTAGTCCTGATGAGGAAAAGGTCTGTAAGGGGAAAGAAAGCATTCGGTATGTTCTGAGCTTCAATTAAGAAAGTCCTCAGAGATTTCACAGAGCTTCAAGAGTGTGCCCCTCAAATTAGTGCCATCTGAACGTCCAGGATACTGGTCCCTGTTTAGTGCAAAATGAGAGGCTTTTAGATGAAGACTATGAATGAAGCGAACAATCAACGTGCGACGGCATCATTGATCCTATCAGATATGCAGGCTTGTGGCTCAATTCCCTAGTTGACGACTGCGGCCCTCGCTCCATTCGCGATTCGACACCTGTACCGTTCCTCCAATTGACATTCTGAGCTCCTTATTCATCAAGTGCTTTAATATGCAGAGCACTCGAGGTCTTGGGCCATCACCCGGGGCATTTCCGAGACCGAGTTGGGCCACTTACAAATGCCTTTGTGTCAACGGGCCGTCTGATGCGTGGACCCGCGCTCATAATGTGGCGATGGCACCACAACATGCTTTTGCGTCTCAAGCTGCGGGCCTGCCGAAGGCATGATCGGATATGCTCCCGGCCACCCATCGCCCGCATCACTGCTCGAGCGGGGCAGACGCCTGCTGCGGCAAGAAAACCCGCTCGCTGGTTAGATGTGCGTTCCCGGATACGGCTCGTTGACATGGAGCTTCGAAATTTCAAGTACTGACTGCGAGGTGTCACCGGCACCGTATAAGAAGTATGCCTGTGGAGGGCACAGTCATTCTTTCACTTTCTATTCCTCTCACTGTCTACTTCTTACTTACAAACTTTCTCTCCACTGATTTACCATGAGCAACTTCGATCCATCCACAGTGGCGGTCTATGGTCTTGTCGCTGTTCTCCCGGTTGCGGGTGTCTGGTTGGTGAAGACGCTTAATCAGAAGGTGTGTCAGTCAATAATCTCCACCTTCTTCCTTTCGCTAATTCATTATGCTCCTCAGGACCCCGTGCCCGCTGTGATCGGCTCCGGGGGCTGGGTCGATTCGCTGAAGGCTGCGCGATACTTCGAGGAGCAGCCGATGGAGGTCGTCCAGAAGGGCTACGACGAGTACAAGGACGGCGTCTTCCGCATCCCGCGTCGCTGGCGCTGGGATTACGTTGTGACCGGTCCCCAGCGCATCAAGGAAGTCAGCGGGGCTCCCTCGGAGGTTCTTTCTTTCAATGACGGATCAGGGGAGGTGCGTCTTCGGTGGTCTGTTTTCATGCGACATTGTGCCGAGCCTGCCGCAGACGATCCAAGCCAAATACACCATGGGAGCCGACCTCTTGAACAACGCGTACCATGCCCTAGCCGTTCGGACGAGTCTGACGCGCAACTTGGAAAGGTTTTCCCGGAGGTGCGGGACGAGATCGAGTGTGCAATTGATGAAGTGTTTGCGTTGCAAGACGACGGTCGGTTCGGTTCCTAATTACCTGTTGCGTAATCTGACGACAAGGCAGAATGGAAACTGGTCCCGGTCATGTCCTCCCTGATGAAGGTGGTTGCTCGAACCAGCAATCGTCTGTTTGTGGGATTGCCCCTGTGTAAGAGACTGTTCTAAAATGGCCGACGCTTTGACTTGAACGATACACACAGGCCGCAACGATAATTATCTTGACTTGAACGTGATCAACACAATCGAGACCGTGACTCGAGGCCAGAAACTGAGCGCCTGGCCCGAATTTCTTAAGCCGTAAGCTTGAGTCCAGTTCCTTCGCGCCTCCCTATTCAATGTTTTGTCAGGCTTGCCGCGCCTTTCATTGTCACCAGGATGAAACGTTTGCGGGAGATGTTGGCATTCGTCGGCCCAATGATCGAGGAGCGCATTGCCAAGGAAGACGAACTTGGTCCCAACTATGAGGGCAAACCCGTAAGCTCCTGCGTCCCATTGAGTTTCTGTGATCTGACTCTGAACAGAATGACTTGATCTCCTGGCTCCTGGAACTTGCCGGCCCTGACGGAAGACACCCTGAGCCTATTGCCGCTCGTATTCTATCCCTCAATATGGCTGCGATTCACACGACGTCGATGGTGTGTATGACCGTTGTTGTTCTATCCTCATGACTCATGCCGTATTCGGATTTAGGCGCTGGCACATGCTCTGTTCGATGTAACTTCGCGCGAGGGCTATCTCGAGCCGATGCGTGAAGAGGCGGAGAACGTCATCAGGGCGGAAGGGTGGACCAAGTCGGCTCTCAACAGCATGCACAAGATGGACAGCTTCATCAGAGAGACCCAGCGCATGCAGGGCAACGGACCCGGTATTTACTCTCCTGCTAGCAAGGGTCATTCGGCGTTCTGACCCAATACAGTGACCATGGCTCGCAAAGTCATTCATCCCGATGGTTTCACTTTCTCCGACGGTGTCAAAGTCCCTTACGGCTCATTCGTGTATGTATCTGGCAAACCCGTTCACTACGATCCGAGTGAGTTTCGCACCGCTCTGCTTTTTCGAAATTGCCGCTGACTGCGATCGCAGAAATTCACGAGGATCCCGAAGTGTTCAAAGGGTCCGCTACTCCGATCTTCGGGAAGCCAAGGCCGACAACCACACCGTCGAGGCAGGCATATTCAACAGCCACATGGTCTCGACCAGCATGGAACATCTGTCTTTCGGCCACGGAAAGCACTCGTGCCCCGGCCGGTTCTTCGCTGCTACCGAGATCAAGGCCATGTTGGCCCACATCCTCATCAACTACGACATCAAAGCCGCAGTGCCTGGTGTCCGCCCTCCCAATGACGAGCATGGAATGATGTCGTCGCCGAATGGCACGGCCGGGATCCTCATCCGCAAACGTCAGCTGTAATCTCCATCCCTCGTGTCTGTGCATAATAGCCTAGTGACCATATACTCTCCTTTACATCGACTGCTCATCTTAGACACTTCTTCCATAGTTCATTGAAATGTTCTCGCATTCCTATCTCACCCGTTTTCTCTGAGAGACTTCGTGCGCCGCGGAGATCCCGGCATTCATTCGACGCATTTGCGGTCTCAGTGACATGGGTGTTGTCCAGAGATTTTGGTGCTAGCCTTATCAGGGGTGATCAGAGGGTCTTCATTGTCCCGGACATTCCCTGGTAAAATTTTCTTGCACAATAGAATGATCGAAAAATATCACTGTAAGAGGCTATACACGCAAAAATGAGCCTTGAGCAACATGTAAAATACGGGCCTACAGAATTCGCGCGGGACCCCCGCAGATCTGGCCCAGCGGGACCCCTGAAAAATCCAAGTCCCGCTCTCAACGACGGCGGCAGGGTTTGACGTTCTGAAACAGTAGCATGGAGTCCGATGTAGTAGATAGTGATCCCAATTCGTTGCATCAGTCGTAGTCTTGACATCGTTGAGAACGACGAGGTCAAAGAGTCGGGTCCCGCGGGAATCGACTTAAACGGGACTAAACCCAGCGGGACTCCAGCGGGACTGGAAAATGGACCCCGCGGGACTCCAGCGGGAGTGCTCTAACGGTGGCGGGGACTCCAGCGGAGGTCGAGCAGGTCCGCGCGGACTCCAGCGATGGTCCCACTGACCCGCGGGACTCCAGCAGTCGTCTCAAATGGCCCGCGGGACTTGAGCGGAGGTCCAGCGGGCGTGCACACCGCGGAATCCTTGACACCAACACAATCCGCCAGTGCTGCTCTAGAACGTCACCGCCGCACACCGCCGTCCCCATTGTCGTCTTACATCAACGTTACAGCCACC